GGTAGGTTTAGGTTAGACATCAGGAGGCGCGACTTCACGGTCAGGGCGGCTAGGGTCTGGAACCAACTTCCAAGAGAGGTGGTGCAGGCTCCCTCCCTGGGGGTTTTTAAGAGGAGGTTAGATGAACACCTTGCTGGGGTCATTTGACCCCAGTACTCTTTCCTGCAATGGCAGGGGGTTGGACTAGATGATCTGCTCAGATCCCTTCCGACCCTAGAAACTATGAAATTTGTTGGCCACTTTATTCCCTTCAAGAGCATATATTATGTCATATTGTCTTGTGATATATTATTTTACCACTTGGTGGCACTGTTAAAAGTGCAGTAACACACATACAAAAAAAATGTTTTCCCCCATTTTTATTCTTGTTACCATTGTGCTCTTAGAATTGTATCTAGAAAATAACTCCTTGGTGTAAAGTGGGAGAATAGACTTTGTGGAGCAGCTAACTATTTCCTCTTTCCCATGTCTTAGAAATAAATTTACATAGCACAGTGGAGAGGATGTAGGCAGGAGAATATGTTTCTTAAAACAACACTGTACTTGTTGCATCAGAGATGTGGGATCCTAGCTTATTTTATGTCTTTTAACACCACCCAGAGGTTGGTGGTTGATGGAAGTCAATCAGCATGGTGCCCTGTGACCAGTGGGGCCCCCAGGGCTCTGTCCTTCGGCCTATACTATTTAATATCTTCATTAATGATGTGGACATTGGTATCAGAAGCAGACTGGCCAAGTTTGCTGATGACACCAAGCTCTGGGGTAAAGCGTCCACACCTGAAGACAGGAGAGTGATCCAGGCTGACTTTGACAGGCTTGGGAAATGGGCGGATGAGAACCTGATGGTGTTCAACACTGAAAAATGCAAGGTTCTCCACCTTGGGAAGAAAAACCTGTAGCATCCTTATAGGCTCGGCAGTGCTACGCTGGCTAGCATATGAATGAACAGGACTTGGGGGCCATCCATGATTGACCACAAGATGAATATGAGCCTGCAATGTGATACTGCTGCTAGTAAAGCAAGCAAAATGCTGGCTTGCATCCACAGATGCTTCTCAAGTAAATCCCAGGACATCATCCTCCCATTGCACTTGGCCTTGGTGAGGCCACAGCTGGAGTACTGTGTACAGTTTTGGGCTCCACAATTCAAAAAGGATGTGGAGAAGCTTGAGAGGGTGCAGAGGAGAGCCATGCGCATGATCAGATGGAGAGGCTGAGAGCCATGGGGCTCCTCAGCCTGGAAAAGCTCAGGCTCAGGGGTGATCTGGTGACCATCTATAAGTTCATCAGGTGTGCTTACCAGGATCTGGGTGAACGTCTGTTCACCAGAGCGCCCCAAGGGATGACAAGGTCGAATGGTCGCAAACTCCTCCATGACTGTTTTAGGCTGGACATAGGGAAGAACTTCTTTAGTGTTTGAGCCCCCAAGGTTTGGAATAGGTACCTGCTGGAGGTGGTTCAAGCACCTACTCTGAACACCTTCAAAAGACATCTGGATTCTTGTGTTGCTGGGATCCTTTGACCCTAGCTGACTTCCTGCCCCTGGGGCAGGGGGTTGGACTCAATGATCTTCTGAGGTCCCTTCCAGCCCTAATGTATATGAAATCTTCCACTCTGTTTTCTATTCCATATTCCAGCCAGGTCGAGTCTGTACCTGCTGTGAGGTGATGTTTATGCCATGTCTCCCTCTTTTTTGTCATCATCCTTTAGGAGTTGACATAATCTCACGAGACTTTTTGGATAGATTAATTTATTGTTGTAACGTCTGATGATTTGCAAATCCGGCTTGTTGACATTTCCATGGTATGAATTAGAAGTGGTAGAACATATAACTGAATGTTACTTGTTTCTAAGCATGGGAAAGGATTTACATGTTGATAAATAAATTTCTTAATTATATAACTTAGTAGTGGTTAACATCAGAAAATTAGAGATTTTTTAAAGAAACTCATTATACAGAGAAAGTGTGATTTTATTTTTTGTTTTAACTGAAGAGACACCAAATCAACTTCAGAGTTCTTTTTCCCCAGAAGGTACTTGTATATAAATAGCAAGACAAGAGAGCACAGTGTTCTGGTGAACTCATGTAGGGCTGCTCTGAAGAAAAATAAGTATCTCAGTATCAGAATATTTAATATCTCCACCAAAGTAGTGTGTTGAGGTTTTTTGCTTTGATACAGTACTGCTGTCATATATCAAGTGTGGCTTAGAAGAATGTTTCTTCAAGTGGTACATTAAAAGTCTTGCTTTTGTAACTGGTAATGCTACACTATATATCTCAGTTCACCAAAACAGCACATAAAAGCATTGCTTCAGTTAATGAGCTCCCTGCCTTTCCACTATAATCTTCTGATTTTAAGGTTAACAACAACAACATGGAATTAGGCAGAAAGTCTCATTGTGAGAGTCATATTATTTTGAAAAATCAATTTGCTAAATTGATTATGCCTAAATATAAGTCAGGGTCTTGTCACCATAGCCTGAACAGATAGTGTGGTACCAATTAGTATAGACAAATGAAGACCCTTCACAGCTCCCACAAGATCAAGGGAAAAGGAAGCATGTGATAAAGGTGATGGTTCATTTTCAGATTCATAGATTGTTAGGTGCTGGAAGGGACCTTGCAGATAATCGGGTCCAGCCCCCCCGCCCCGCCGTAGGCAGGAAGAAAAACTGGGGTCACGTGACCCCAGCGAGGTGACTACCCAGTCTCTTCTTGAAAACCTCCAGGGTAGGTGACTGCACCATTTATGTCCATCCACTACTGCTGAAGATCTGTAGGTTTCCAAAACATCGAAAAAATCTAAAAATTGAGGAGTCTTTTCTTAAAACATGCTAACACTTGCAGTGACATCCAGTGGCAAAATCCTTACTGATTCAGTGGGGTTGTTTGCAAACTAAAGTGAACGGTAGAAAAGAAACGTGATTGAGTCTTATCAGATATATTGTTGGCTCTTCTGCAGGTCAGCCAAGGAAACTTTATTAAATAATCTTTGTGGATGTTACTCAGAGTGGATCTAAGATTGTAGGAGAGCAGTCGCACCCACCTTTGGCTGTCTAGAGCATGCACAGCTCCTGAGCTTAACAGCTTGTCAGCATGGCTTCTGCCAGAGCCACTGCTTTGGGATGGCTCTGGAACCCAGGGGGTGAATTTAGCCATGTCCAAAGGCGGGGGGACAAGGGAATGAGAGAGGTTTACCATCTGAGTTCTGGAGCTGTGCCAAAATAATGGCTCTGGTAGGAGCCATACTGATGTTCTGGTAAGCACACAAAGCTCATTGCACATGTACTGCACAATCAATGGGTGATTCATAGATTCATAGATTAAGGGTCGGAAGGGATGTGACCATCCCTCCTGGATCCACTCATGGATGTTACTGATACTTTAGATCAGAGGTGGGCAATGTTTTTTGGCTTGAGTGCTGAAAAAACCACAATGTGTATCTTAGAAGGTGCCGAGTGCCAACATGCCAGAGCCCGGAGCAGCTTTTTGCAGCCGGCCCACGGAGCCTGGTCTGGGAGCAGCCTGGGCTCCATGGCTGCTTAGAGCCTGGGCTGGCAGTGATGTGCCGAGCAGAATGGCCTTGCATGCCATGCTCGGCATGCGTGCCAGGGTTTGCTGACCCCTGCTTTAGATGATACCTTTTGTGTTTGTCGTAATTTGTGTATACACTCATAAAATTAATATATCATCTTAACAGATGTCTTTCTGTAAATATTTTCCCCTTGTCCTGCAGTGGATGACAGTGCTATTTTGGATTGTCAGTTCAGCGAATTCTATCACACTCCACCACCAGGGTTTGAAAAGATACTCTTTGAACAGCAGATCTTCTGAATGTCTTCATCCTGAAAGTTTGCACCCTGCACTGTTAGACAGCATTTGCTATCTTAAATAAAGCTTCACATTACCTGTAGGAAACACATCTGTATTTTTAGTAAGTACTGTTATAGTTGTCAGCAGAACCAGTATGTTACTTGCAACACCAGAGAATTGTTGCAAATGCTAGTTTTGTTTTCTTTTTACAATGTTTTGTGATGTGAGAAGGTGTTTGGGAGCAACTTTTTTCTGATTTGTTTGTTGTAACTGGAAACCAAGGGGCAAAAGTGACACAGTATTAAATGAATTTTTGAATTCAATTTGTGCTTTGTAAAACAAATGATTCTTATACATGAAAGTGTTTCCTCAAAGCTTGGGTTTGTAGTTCTGTTGTGATTTTTTTTCCAATCCCTTTCTAGCTAGAAGTTACGTAATTTGTCAAAAAAAAAATCAACACTGCTAATAGTCTCTCATTTTGGATTGCAGTGTCCTTGTTGAACACAATGACTAATGGTATGACTACGTAACTGGCAGCTAGAATTTTTTTTGAAACAGGTAATTTACCCATTTTTGGTTCTTTTAAACAGCTAAGTTTCATAATTTATATAATTTTCCTTGCTATTCATTTGCTTTGTATATGATAAGTAATAGAACACATTTTAATAATAGAGCAAGTGTTATTTTGTTGACTGTTTAAAAACAACCCTGAACACTAGAAGATGTATTTATAAAGACCATCATGCTGTGTTTCTATGGTGGTAGAATAGGTACAGATTGATTAACCTTAATGTATACAGTGGCAGACAAAGTATGTTGGATATTATGATGAAGCTTTACATCAAAACTGTAAATCAGATTATTCTTTTATGGAATATTTTATTTAATTTTTTTTTTCCTGAAGTTAGGAATATAATGGTTGAGAGGCTGTTCTGAAATATGATGACTATAAAGATGAAAGTTCAGATGGCTTTTTCTCTTGTCATGTATTCAGTGTACTTTCTAGTAATTTTTTGTAAAGAAAATCTTTCTACAGTATCCTGATGTGTGTGTTTTTAAGAATTTGAAATAAGGTTTTCTGGCTGTCCATTGGTTAATGCATTTGTGTGACTGAGTGAGTACTTTACCTCTTAGTTAAATAGTTAACAGCTTCTTTTATTCTGAAGTTTTCAAATACAAACATTTTTCTCTAAACCTTTCATTTCCTAACTTTTTCTGTCTGTTTAAAGGGTCTTTCTTCCCTCAAGTGCCTGAGCTTTCTTTTTTCCTGAACCATTCTGAGCTCTCCCAATACCTAAATTGAAGTGATAGCAGATGATTGCATAAAGCAGAACTCAACCTGCAGGGCAGGTCACCTCTTCAGTAGTATACTATAAAATTAGGAGTGTTTGTTCTGTAGATGTTGGAGTGAAAACAGGTACGGTCTTCTCCTGAAACTTACATTCCATATATCAGGTGAAGTAAGTACAGTGCTTCTGTAATCAAATTTGTTAACTTTCAAAACTAAAAAAAAAAAAAGTCTGAGTTTTTAAGGTGGTAAAGAGGTTGTATGTGAAATGGAAAGGCATGGGTCCTCTTTCTATAATGACATATCTTGAATACTATCTCAAGCAATAGCACCAAGGAGTAAGAAGATGAGGTTATTTGATATGGAATGAAACTATTTATTTTTCCTTTTCCCAAGAAACAGTTTTAGAAATTCTAATCACTATATCAGACTTAAGAAAGCAAACAACTTAGTGTTTAATATGTTAGCAAATATTTAATAATCAACCAACAAGCTGGTTTCCATGAGTCTGTAGAATCAAACAGGGAATTTAGATCTTATTTGAAAGCACAAAGGCAGTCATCTTCAAAATTATACAGTCTATTTTTAAAATGTTTAAGTAAATATAAGTGTTTATATTTGTTGTTGGTTTAACAGCTGATTTAAAGAGCTTACCCTTGCAGTTGAAAACATTGTTAGTTTCCCAGTATTTTAAATGGGCAAAGAATTATCTATCCAGCTGTCTTCTATTGTAAAATATTAACAGGTCATCTCATTGCAGACACAAAGTGAGAGACACTCCAGTACATGGTGAGGTAATGTAGATAAATGAGTGATTACACTTAATTTGCATGTATTTATCAAGATGTGGATTGCACTTTTCACCTCAAAATGACAATTTCACTCTGAGTATTTAACAAAAGTGGAGAGGAGTTATGTTAATCACACTTTATAGGTGAGGAAATTGAGGAATAGGATCACAGGAAAGTATGGCTGGAAGGGACCTTACAAGGTCATCTAATCCAAGCCCTTGCTCAGGGAAGGATTATCCCTATTTAAACCATCCCAGTTAAAAATCTGTCTAACCTGTTTTTGAAAATTTTCAGAGATGGAGATTCCACAGCTTCTGTATGTTTAGCCTGTGTCGTCTGTCATTGTCAGAAAATGCCACCTAATCTCCAACCTAAATTGCCTGTGCTGCAGCTTGAGTCCATTGCTCCTAGTCCTGTCTTCTGTAGCTCCAGAAGACAGTATATATCCATCCTTTTCTATAATAACCCTTCAGGTATTGGAAGACTGGTATAAAATCCTTTCCTTGGTCTTTTCTTCTCCAACCTAAGTAACCCTAATTCTTTCAGCCTTTCCTCTTTTATGCTTTGTAGGCCTCTAATGTCTGTCACTCTCCCACTGAACTCTTTCCAACTTGTCCACATCCTTCTTGATGTATAGGGCCCAAAACTGGACACATCACTCCTGCTAAGGCCTCACCAGTGCTAAATGGAGCAGAGGAATCCCCTGATTTAAAAGTGACATTCTTGTTAATATAACCCTGTATGCTGTTGGCTTTTTTTTTTCCAAACAGAATACCTTGTTGTCTCATACCATATCTATTTGAATATAAGACACCCTGGCTATAAGATGAACTCCCTCCAATTAATTAGATTCTATATATGGAAAATGTATAAATTTGTTGCAATTTTCCAGGTATAGAATGTAATTATTGGAGGTTTGCCTTGAATTTTCCCCCTCCCTACTACTACAGCATGGAAAACAAATTTGGTGGGGAGTCAGGTGGCCCCCTTGCCCTCTGCCTCTCCACAACTTCTTTCTTTCCCCTGCAGCCTCTTCTCCCCCTCACTGTCAGACTCTCCCTGAACACATGGAAGGGAGAAGCAAATTTAAAAACACTGACTTTGAAATAAATATACTTGGAGTAATTTGCATATAGTACCCATAGACTTCATTCATCCAGAATTGATGCTCTTCTGAAATTGCTGCAAGTTTTAGCACAGATACTCCAGAAACACACTTTTAAGCAACATGTTTGTACCTACTTACAGTATAAACTAGACTTGATATTAGTTCAAAGCCAAAAGGTTCATGATTTAGCATAGATGTCAGCGGGCTGGGCCCCATTAGTCAACAGCATTTCAGACTGGTGACCCCACAGCTCAGCACTTCTTAGTATGTTTGTGTATTCCAGATATGCTTCTCTTTCCCCCCACAGCATGAAAAGGAGCCATGTACTAATTAGCCCCCACTCATCATGGACTGTGTGTTTTTTGTCATGGGTCTTGGCTCCTCCAAAAAAATATATGCAGAGGAAGCATGGGGTAACCTGGTTCAGCTCCAACTTATGGAGGGTGGGGCCACACTACTCATGTACATAGGGACCTACTGAGTTCGTGATTGTGTGATTTTCATGGAAACTGTAAATTCAGGCGGGCTTCGTGAAAATTGTGGGCTCCATGAAATCAGGCAAGCTTTGTGATTTTGGTAGGCTTGATGGAAAATAAAAACTTGCGAAAAAAAATGCTGCCTCCCTCTGAGTATCCAACAGTCCTCATGGCTGCTGTGGCTTGGCCCCACAGCCTGTCGGAGGAGGGAGAGGGGCTCCCAGCAAGATCGCTGCTGCCCTTTTGCCACTGATTGGCTGAAAGGGCTGCCCGTCATGTCCTGCTCCTCTCCCCCAAGCGACAGCCAGGGTTGGGGCTGCATAGTGGACAGCCCTCACAACTAATCAGCAGTGAGGGCTGGGGACATATGATGGACAGCTCTCACAGCCAATTAGTGGGGAGGGAGGGGGCCACTATGGACCCATTGGCCAATCAGAAGCATGAGGGGCCACCATGCTCAGCCCACGAAAATAGCTATCAGCCCTGGGATCTGCCTGTGAAATCAGCGAGCTGCCTCTTAAAGTTAGGTAGGCCCCTGCATATACAGCAGGCTGACAGAGGGGGCAACAGAGGGATTCTGGATGAACTGGTTGGGTCCTCATTTGATGATGTTTGCTAGATGTTCAAGGCTGATGAAGAAACAGGAATAATTGGAAATGGGAAAGAAAGACGCAAGCTTAACTGTTGCAGTGAAGAGAAAGTCAAAATGTATGCAGTATAGTGGTTCACCATGACTTGTTTTATAGTCATGCTCAGTGTTGGCTGCATTTATTCAGCTTCATAGTTGGTTTCCATTACTGAGCATGTGCTGCTTTTGGCAGCAGTTTAATGATAGACAACGTATTTAATGAGGTTTCCTTGTAGGTGAATGTAAGACAAGGGGCTTTTTCCCCATGCTGATTAGGGGAAAAAAAACCTTGTCTTGTATTCAAATACGTAAATACCATATTTTGCTTATGGTTTATTATAACCCCCAGGTCTTTCTCTGCAGTACTGCAGCCTAGCCCAGTTATTCCCCAGTCTGTATGCAGTTATTCCATCCTTTTTGAATTTCATCTGATTAATTGCAGACCTTTTCTCTGGTCTCTCCAAGTCATTTTGGATCCTAGCCCTACCCTCCAGAGAATCTGCAGTTCCACCCAACATGGTGGTGTCTGCAAATTTGCTAAGTGTGCACTTGATCCCTTCATCCAAATCATTAAGGAAGATATTAAACAATACCAGACACAGGGCAGACCCTGGGGGACACTCACTTGATACCCTCCCACCTAGATACTGAGCCATTGATGACTAGTCATTGAGCACAATGAACCAACCAGTTATGTATCCACCTCAGTGTTTTTGTCTGGTAGTCTGTATTTCTTTAGCTGTTAATTAAAGTGGGAGACTGTCAAAAGCCGTGCTAAAGACAAGGTATAGTACATCCATTGCTCTTCCCCTCCATCCACAGAGCCTGTCACCTTTATCATAGAAGGCAATCAGGTTGGTCAGGCATGACTTGCTGTTGGTGAATCCATGCAGGCTGTTCCTGATCACCTTGCTCTCCTTTAGGTGTTTCACAATGGATTCTTTGAGGACCTGCTCCATGATCTTTCCAGATATCAAGGTCAGGTTGACTGGCTTGTAATTTCCCAGGTCCTCCCCTTCCCTTTCTCCAAGATGGGCACTATGTTTGTCATTTGCCAATTATCTGGGACTTCACATGACCTCCATGAACTCTCAAAGAGGATAGCCAAAGGCTGTGAAATTACCTTAGCCAAATCCTTCAGTACCCTTGGGGGTATCCCATTTACCCCTGCTGACTGGAAAGCATACAGCTTCTCCAAGTAATCCCTAACCTGTTCTCTTCTACTTTAGGCTGTTTGTTTCCTTTCCTATCTCTTTGCTAACTGTGATCATCATCTGGTAGCTGTCCCTATATGTGAAGAGTAAAGTAAAAAGGCTTTATTTTAGGTTTCTCTCTGACATCCATAATTAGGTTGCCTTCTGCATTCTTTAAGGGACCTATGTTTTTTTCTTGCTTTTACTTTTAACATACTTGAAGTATTCCTTCTTAACGCCTTTTATTTGCCTTGCCAGCTTCCTTTCAAATCGTACTTTGGCCTTGTGATATTCTTATTCTTCCTTAGTAATATGACAAAGTTTCTACTTTTTGTACGATTATTAAGCGGGTTTTAGGAGATTGTGAGTTGACCTCTTTCACAGCAAATCATTTCATTGTCAAAATAAAACCTAACTCCTAATGGTCCCTGTATCTTATTTAGTGAAATTAATACCAGCAGATGAGCTGAGTATTTACTGGTAGCAAAAGTGTGTTTCCCAATAAAAATATTAAGGGTTTTCAATTTTGCACCCATAATTTCCTTAACCTTTTA